TGTGGACCATGCCTGCTGTGGAAAACAACCCAGCATACTCTGTTCTAGTTGCCTTGCCATTTAACAACAGCATCTTTTCACTGCCAGGCAAAAATACCTGCTTTCAAGTTTATCAAAGTCTCAGAAAACATTGTAAATGGACCCAGTGATGTGAAAGATGGGCAGTTTTGAGAAATACATTAGACTTGTCAAACTGTTCCGTGCCAATGTTTTGTTCCCTGCTCTGGAGGCAAATGAGACAATTTTCTGAACTACAAAATTTTGCGGAATTTTGCAGCAGTAGGTGTTTTTTTTTTTTAAACAGGGGCCTCCCCATCTTGATCTCTGTTCTGTTTTTTTCACTACAGTGATCGTCTCCTCCTGCAATCACCTCTCTGCCTTTAGCCTCATGCTCAGCCTCCAGCTTCACGTAGTTCAGCTCGGTACCTTTTAAAGGCTCCCTCCTACCCAGTCTGAAAAACTTGATAGGAATATTTGAGAGGTACAAACAATTCTTAGCGCAACACTGAAGAGCAGTAAAGCTCTATAAAACCAGCAATAATAAAGAGAATTTTTGCTACCTTCCTTAACTGTAACAGAAGACACAGAGATTAGTGAGTTTAATAAATTCCAGAAGCTTCTTCCTGCACATTTAATAATGAAATGCACTGCTATAGAGAAACTGAGGGCAAGAATTTAAAACAAGTCAGATAAAAATTACACGAGTATTTCCCAAAATAAGAGTAGTATTTCTAAAGTATTCCATTATAATAAACATGGCTGCAAGCCTTGCAGATACTTGAGTGATTTCTCAAACTGAGTTAATTTTTAAACGAAAAGTTATCTAGTTACCAAGATAAAACTGAAGGGCTGCTAGATACCATGCTGCTTCACATATAGGGTCTAATACGAGGCTGACATATCTGCCTAATACAGGATCTGTTTACGTATTAAAAACCCAACAGTAGCTCTTATTGGAGCCTGAACACTAATTAAGGCAGAACTTTGGTCTGAAATAACCATTCACATGTTTAACAGCTAAAGAAATCTCTTTTGGATGCAGCAAAAGAGTTAACAAATCAGCAAGAACGGTGTGTTCATCCTCACGCATTCTACAAACAAACAAAAGGGCTTTTTTTTCTTATCATTAACTTTGTCTGAAGATTCTGTTAATGCCTACATTTTTCTAATGCAAGGGAATGTGTGTTCCCTGTTTACACAATTACTGCCAAAGGAACACTCAAAATTCCCTGTTTGACAATTACCTTCAGTAAAAGGTGGCATTTTGCAAGTGTAGCTGGCAGTCACCCCTTGTATATAACAAGCATATTTGTACAGCTCTTCAACTCTGAGCGTATGCAAGCTAAGCGACGCCAGCAGCAGTACCTGCGGTCGGCATCACCGCAGCACAGAAACAGCCAGGCAGAC